TGATAAATAGAATTGCAAACATCGCGTGTTTGGTAATTTTTCAAAATACAATGAGACCTTGGTTAGGATTCAAAGAGGAGTTGCAGTGTCTCTGACTGCCTTTCCGTATCCTGTCTCACAAAACAGAGGGATCAATGTCATGAACTTCATAAATACAATAGGGTTCAGCCTAGGCCGTTTAAAACGTGGTGCGTGTCACATGTGATGTTCACATAGTTTACGCACTTTTTGCGCTCAATGAAATTATCCGTGCCAGCACTCTGAATACGGAATTATGCCTTTAATAGACCTCATCATTTTGGATAGGACACTGATCGAAACAACCTTTGTGTTTGTACTTTTTTATTTACTCACAAGGACATTATGGGAATGTTATCTTCTCTTTCAGTTCCTCCTTCAATGAGAGTTGTGCAGTTTATTGTCGCAGTTACTGGAGCCTGTGGACTCATTTTACTTGGGAACTATGTTATCAGGTATAGACACCATTTCTTTAGTGCCACCATAGCCTTACAAATGCTAAACATTACCATAGGTTCTACTACTTTGTATTATCCATCTGTAATGTTCTGTTGAGAACGTCGCACGCAGTCTACATTTAAGCCAGTACATTATACATTCTATCAAAAAGGCAGTTTTGGAAGTTTTTGCCAGACTGGTGACTGTTTTGACATAATTTGTACAATGCAAGGGCTCTTCTCAAGAACTAAGTATCTTCCAATCTGCACAAACGGATACTGTTGTTTAAAAAATAATACGGAAAAAAGAGGCTTAAGATAATAACACCAGTTTTTTAGTGCACTAATATGCATCACCTCTTACCTAAGCTAGTTGAGCTACCCACCCACCTGCTCTACCAATTTAACCATCAGACACTTCTTTAAAACCATCATCCCGTAGAAAATTTTCTAATCCATCCTCTCCACGAACAGTAATGGCACTGCAGGTCAGTACGTTTTGGCTGTTATCCATCAGAAATTTTGGAGACTCAGAGGTGATCTTTAATTTATACGCTTCATGTTTGTATTGCCGACGTAAGTAGATACTGACCCGGCTAGACTATTACTAACCTTTGGACGGTCTTAGGAGAAGCGCAAGGGTTGCTTTTTTGTTGCCTTTAAAGAAGAGCCGCATATCTGAAGATTGTATATATTCTTCCTACACATCCATTCATCCAGTGCATGATCACGTTTGTTACAGAGATCAAAAGTGACCAAAGTGGGAGCAAAAGATGCCTTCATCACAAATACTAACAGTTTCATTTTAAAACACAATTAAGGAAGCATGTGATCATGTTACCACGAGGAATTAGAATTTCACTGTGTTATCAACAACATATGATCGACGAGGGGTTAAATGCTCCTTTTCGGGAGGCTGAATGCGTATTACAAAACAGACTGGCAAGCCCTTGGCTCGCTATCAGTGGCCATTAGGGGAATGCGGAGGAGCTTGGAAGGGGGTCCTGATGGTCTGGTTAGGACAGCATATGTGGGGTTGATGGACATCGTGATGAGATGACACCTGGCGGTCGGTGTGCTCGCAGGTTGAATGCCGAAATGGTCCACTAGATATATCGACCTTGGGTAAACCTTCCATCGACATACGCACAGCTCCGTTGTGTTAGCCCTGCTGCCCGTTATTTGCACATTTTGCACAGCAATCCCTGATTAGCCTTTTTGCATTTTGACAATATAGTGACCAATGAACATGTTAAATTTAAAAAAATATCAAATACATTTATTTTATTCATAATAATAATGCCAGCATAATGTCCACGAAAGCAATACCTGTGCTTGCGAATAAGGAGGCGTCGGTTGACTTTTGCCATAGTGAATGTCAATTAAAATAGCTGCCTAAAGATTTCTACTTCATGTGCTCGCACGCGATAGAAATATCATAACAGTAGCGAATATGCGTGCCCCAGGTTCTTGTTGTAAAGAAGACGAAGACGCG